AAACTTTTAAGTCACTACAATCACTGTACCATGTGCAAATAATGTGCAATATTGGAAAACATATGATTGGCTTAACTAAACTGTGACTTTACTACATATATATTAAAAATACACTTTATAACTATATACAAACTACAACACTGAGTCAACTCACTTTCCTTCTTGAATGTCATATAAAACGATGCAGTCGTCGTCGCTGCTGGATATGGCGCTTTCTCCGTTCGGACTGTAATCCACACAGTTGATTTTCTCTGAGTTTTCTTTATATGTTCTGGCCACTCGGAAGCTCCGTATTACACTGTCTGTGATCCTCATATCTGCAACAGGACACAGTGCAACTTCGCGAAAAAATAATGCTCTATTCTTGTGATTTCACGAGGCTATAATGCCATTTCTGTCGTTTAGGCTGACGGGGCAATGGGGGACCCATGTCCCCTTAAAGTCTACACAAAAATATGCTTAGTCTGTTTTATAAATACGCCAAATTGTCACAATACATGATGTACAACATGCTACATCCCCGTTACTGTAATACAACAGTATTCAGGGGCTACGTAATGCATGGTTTTGCGTATGGTGGTATACAAGGTGGGCGGTGTTTACGGCAAGCTCATTCAAAAGACAAAAGCGACCGCGACGTAGAGGCGTCAGAAACGAGCTTTCCTCAAACGAAGGGTAAGGGAAATTGCGTATGTCTTAGATTTACAAAATAATAAAAACTAATCATAATATTTAGCGTTCTGTACAGAAAATGGCACCATACGCAGTGAATAAACCAACACTGGTGTGATTTTTTAACATCTCGTATATAATTATTCCGCCAAAATGTGTTTTTATAAAGGTCATTTTTGTATGGTGGTAAGATTTGCTTTTATTCCGAAAGCTGTGACACGGAAGTAGTTGGATAGTAAACACCGCATGTTTCAGGCTGTATAGTTTTTTTTCCAGTCTAAAATTAAAGACGTCCATGCTGATATATAATGAATAGCTGCGTAAGAATAGTTCCTACATGTGACTGGGCTTTCGGACTCTTCAAACTCACGTCTCGATTTAATCAGCAGGTATACTGTCAACCATGTCACAGCCGCGGGCTAGCTACTGTTACTGGGGTCAAACACCGACGGACAGCGGCTGACCTGGCCGAAAAGGTCCGCCAGGATAAGAAGAAGCAAACGGTTGTTGAAGCTCCGATATCCAAGCAGCAGAAGAGACTGGCTGAAATAAAGAGATACAGTCAACAACTTCAACGCGTTCACCCCAACGTCCTGGCAAAACACCTCCACAAACGGGTGCTGTACCAGGACAAAGATGTAGTGATTATCAACAAACCTCACGGTATCCCTGTGAGAGGTACGCCTTCTACTCATACATTCGTGGACGTTTGTGTATTATCAAAACTCTCAAATGTAAACATATTAAACATATGTTCTGTTATTAGTTAATATTTCCCCATTTACTATATTTTATGCCTTAAAAAATAATTCCCTGCAGTTTGTATGAAATCTGTAACAGAAACATGAACCCGATCATCTCACCCTAGTCATTTACCAATGCTTTGAATCTGAAATCTGTTTTCAGGAAAAAATAGGTTGAAGCTATTTGTTGTGTTTCAGAAAATCCCGAAGGCACATCCATTGAGTCTGTACTTCCGGTCCTTTCCAAAATGATGGAAGGGATGAAGATCAACTCTGAATCTCAGCTGCTGCCCTGCCTGAAACTGGATAAGAATGCAACAGGAGCTCTCCTCCTGGCCAGGAGTGAGGAAATAGTGGAACACATGGTCCACCTACACAGGAACAACCAGATACAGAGTAAATACTGGTAAGATGAAGTACTGATGAAGTACAAATTTCAACATTGTTTCATAACAGAAGACAGTGACATTATGTTGTTTGTTTAACAAATATTAAATATCAGCCCACGTGGAGCCAATGCAAAGAAGATGAAGACGTAATGTGGCTCAAGAGCCACGGGTTGACTCACTCTACCCTAGTGTCCTAAACCGCAACCAAAAGATTTATGTCTTTCTCTCTGTCAGAATTCTTTTCCCTGTTGTCAGCATGAAGTGATTTCACTTGTCGAATACAGAGGTTTTTAGGATGAAGAGTTCTGCCTCTTCACTGCTTTACCCTGGCAGAAAAAAAACAAAACTCTATCACTTGACCATTAATGTGGCTCTGTTTCTTCACCTTTATTGTTCCGAAATACAAAGCAGTATTGAACCATATATTGTTGTGTCACTGCTGTTAATCTCCTGTTCACTTCACAGGGCCGTCACAGTTGGTGTACCTGTGCCATCTGAGGGAATCATTGATATCCCCATCATAGAGAAAGCCATCACAGGCCCTCAGCCACACTACAAGGTGTGTCACTGGTACATTCTACTGTCGGTTCTTTACTGTGACATTTACAGATTTAAAGCTGTAAATTTATCTGCAGCTAGAAAATAAATGAATGTTG